CTACTCAAATGTTTCCTTCCCTTTCAACGTAAGTAACATTACGTTCGAACTAAAAAGTCAACTGTAAGTTCATAAACATCCTTTGTGCAGTTTAACGATTGTGAAGGGTACCGGTGTGACTACAGTACATCAATCGCCTTTCAACTTAAACAGCTGTAAAATGAAATTGGAGGAGTTATTCCAGGTAATTTACTAGAAAGAGGCGAATTTCGAGAATTTTCCTTTTTTTTTTCTCACTCGGAGAACTTTCTCGCACATGTGTCCAGAGATAAGTACTGCTTCCTGTATAGTCAGAGATTCAAACCAAACAATTCAAAAATAAGCACTTTTATTTCTACACTCCACAAAAGAAAACAGCATAATTCAAATGTACAACAAACGAGAAATAAGCGTGAACCAACGTCAAACAGCTCCCTCATTAGAGGGAAAACTTCCCAAATCTTTGACGTTAGTTACGCATTATAAAATAGAAAAGTTCAAATCACACATGACAAACAGAATTCCGAGCATAAAAAAATCGCTCAGTTACCGGTAATTATGCGCTTATTAAACAGAACACCGCGACTCTCATAGAATACTCAAATCATATATCACTGAGAAAAGGGCAGCAGGCAACGGCAGCAATACTAGATCTGACGAGGGAGCACTAAAAAGGAGCACAGAAGAATTCCTTTTTTGGAAATTTCTAGAGCTAAAGCGCTATTTCTAGAGAAGAAAATGTCTAATTTCCTTTGTACTACCTCGTACAGATAGCAGTCCGTACCCATTGCAATTTCTAGAAGAGATGGTCAAGGTATAATTGTGATTTCCAATCACAAAACCCTAACAAATATCGATGAAAAATTCGACAATAACTAGACATATAGAATGACAAATGCAAATACTAAGAGAAGAGCTCATTGGTACTGAATTTCGTTGAGCAAAGGTCATTGAAATATGGAATAGATGTGTGAATATGTGGCGTGTGTGTGTGTACGTATGCGAATTCCCTATACGTTTATGAATAGATGGTGAGCGAGCAAAGTGTACTGAATTCAACGAAATTCATACACTTTTGTCAAGCACCCGACTTAGAAGTAACGAAGAATGCGCTCAACACACGGGAGCAGTCACCATAGGAGCAGTTGACCATTTCTGGTTACGTTGATAGCTCTCTACGGATAGCTTATTCCTCTTTTAGCATCATCACACAACCACTTCCATCAACTGTGGCACGTTGTTTAACCTTCTTGT